CAAAAGCCTCACAGCCTATATCCAGTTCCTTAACATTTTGTCTGCTCTGTGGCAGGGTGGTCAACGACCGAATCGTTCTATACAATTGTGCTGGGTACGAGTTTGCAGATGCAATCTCGGCCGCGTAGAACTCCTTCTTCGCGGCCTTGACTGCCATCTCATTTGACTTCATAAACGTTCGATAGGATGCTCTTGTTGCTTCGTCACGAACCCGCCGCCACTGTCTCTCCAGTCGTCTGAGCCCTCTCAGTCCTGGTGTCAATCAGAAGCCAACTTCCTCTCCTCTTAAAATAAATGTGAAAGTTTAAAAAAGTGTTTACAAACTTTATTAAAGCACCAAACAAAGTGTTTGATTGGTAAACACTCTAGGCACTTAAGGAAAGAAAACAAATGCAGAAAAGAAGAGAATGAACATAAATAGTAAATCAGGAACTGATCCATAGGCAGCATATGTGTTTAAAGAAGCTGAATGAGAAGGGGCCATAGCTCACTTCACAGCCAATTACCTGTACTACTGTTCACACGTACATTCAGCCTTTAACCTTATGCTTTTAAAATTCAAGTCTCTGTGACACCTGCCCTTGTGGAACAATCAATGGGTTGCTAGTACCTGAATCGTCGACTGTTTCAAGAAGGCCAGTAGTGGAGGTACGCAAGCGTGGTTCAGGGCTCCGTAAATGCACAGTGTCATCATCCCGAATCAAAGTCAGGTCCTGCATGCTGAAACTTCGTAGCTTTTCAGACAAAACTCCTTGACCCTTTAAGACACCATAGCAAAATTCAACTATGCATATGCATCATGTCATTCAGAATGCATCAAAGGAAACATATTGGAAAAGGTCTATGCCCCACAGGAGGTACAAGAGCAAGATGATGGTATGAGAGGGACATAACGTGGGTGCCAGATGAAAGAACAAAACTGTCTCATGTTAAAAGCAGCCCTAACCAGAAGGAACAGCCCAGCAGATGCCCAGAAGTCACCCTGGGTGATGTGGGGGTGCCGGCATTATACCGAACATTAGACCAGCAGAAACAAATAGAGGAGACATTGCACACAAGTATGAGGTTACCTTTGCAGCTGCAGTAACTGCTGCATTGGCTGCCAAATTTAATCCTCGCTTGCCAACTCTCATCATAGTTTCATAACTCTTGTCACGGGCCTGGCTGATGTACTCATCAATTTCCTAGGATTTAATTGGGGGAAGATCACATTTAAAGATTAAAACTGTATAACTATAGCCCTCTAGTGAGAGATGCACACTCATACACAGCAGTTTCTAAGCTCCCCAGAGTATGAGCCCATACAGTTTGGACAATGATTTCCTTTATCACACAGAACAGAAATTCTCAGTTTGTCACTAGGGATGGGCACGAACCTGATCACAAAGCTAAATTCATCACACAAATTGGCCAGTTTATGGTTCGTGAGCTAAGGGTTGTGCAATCACGCCTGCAATGAACCTCCCATGAACCTCCATGGTTTTTACAGAGATTTGTGCAGTTCGTGTCAGTGGTTCATGCAGCAGGCACACTCGCACCACTCAATTAATCATCAAAGCAATGGGGGGATGGACTTCTGCAGCCCTGGCAACACCAGTAGTGGCCCTCTAAAGCTTGACAGGCAGCACTGGCTGCCAATAAGAGAGTTCTAGAGCACAATGGATATATAACCCCAGCTCACACACAGCTGTTTTACTTGGCAGCAGGCAGTTGGAAGAAGAAGAAGAGATTGGATTTATACCCCACCCTTCACAGAGCCTCAGAGCAGCTTACAACTTTCCCTTCCCCTCCCCACAACAGACACCCTGTGAGGTAGGTGGGGCTGAGAGAGCTCTTTCGAGGGCTGCTCTTTTACTAACAGCTCTGACAGAAGTATGGCTTGCCCAAGGCCATCCAGCAGCTGCAAGTGGAGGAGTGGGGAATCAAACCCAGTTCTCCCAGATTAGAGTCTGCGCACTTAACCACTACACCAAACTGGCCCTACACCAAAGTAGGCAGAGAGGGAGTTAGAGGCAGAGAGGGAAGGGAACTGGAAGTCATTCCTCAGTGAGAAAAGTGGGGTTGGGGGTATTTGGTGCTTACTCAGGGCTCTGAGGCACCTGCCCTTCTGCTCACGCCGAGCAGAGGGGCTGAGCTACTGGGTTCCTCAGCTGAGGACCCACACTCCCCCTTAGTGGCATTTTTGAACACCTGTCCCTGGTTGGGGTAGTGTCTGGTGAACTCAGGGCTCTGAGCCGCCTCTAGCTTGCAGGGGTCTGTTCAACACACTCCTGAACCTGCGGCTGTGATTTCCCCAGAGAGCACTTCCTTGGAGGCACCTGCTTTGGACAGCTGTAACTAAGCCCCCCTGAAATCCAATCCTCACCAAACTTGGAGGGCAGGTAGAGGAGAGTCAGCTGGAGACCTGCTGAGTGTTTGGCATCTCTAGCCTGCAGGGAGGCCATTCTACTGCATCACAAAGCTCATGAAATGAACCAGTTTGGTAAATGGGAAAGTTCATGAAGGTTCGTGAGACTCCACGAACCAGGACGAACCTCAATTTTCCCAGTTTGTGCCCATCCCTATTTGTCACACTCAGCCTCAAGTCATGACTAAAGGCTAAAATGTCCAGTCATCAGTTCTCTGATATATGGGTTGGGTTGGGTAGGGGACCTGGTTCACACATGAAGTATGTGAGGAATAAGAGTTCAGTATTTGTTTGTTTTACGCAAAAAGGGCATGTGTGGGTAAACAAAGCTGAACATTTCCACCCTACCCACCTGTGCACCTTTGGCTCAGTTTCTTTTCTCTTAGCCTAGCTCACTTTTGATATTAAAAGTGGGCTGGCAGAAAAGTACCTGAGCGAAAGAGGTGCAAGGAAATAAGCTGGAGAAATTGGGAGGATTTAGCTTCCTGTACTCTTGTGCCCCTTCATGTATTCCCCCCTCCTGCTTCATATGCAAACAGGGTATATATGTGAACAACAAATGTGACTTTCCCCATAATGTCTACTTTGGCCTTAAATCAAATTTGATGAAAGATTAGCCAGTTAACTTCTACTGTAACTTCAGGACTTTACTTCTCAGCAATGACAACATGCTTTTAACAAACAGGCAACAATTAGAATCACTTTCAAGACTAGGAAGATTCACAGGCCTAGCACTGTTAACTCAGTACACGACAAAAGAAAATTAGCAATATCTGATTGTCTGATCCGAACAGCCCAAAGTGCTAAATTTAGCATGCAGCAGTGAAATCATATGTAATACCCAGAATGTTTTATTTAACGACAGCATGGCTGCTAACATGGGAAATATTTCCCCATCAATAAGTCTGTCACAAGTAATGAGACACTGATTTCTGTTTCTCTGGATGATTTGGATCTTATGGTACTAAAAGCACACACATGGAACTTGTCAGAAAACTAAGGGTGTACTGTATACATCAATTGAGTTCTGACTTCCAGTTTAAGCGTTTTGCCGCTCGGACGCATCCCGTCTCAGAATTTGTGCCAAGCTATTAAATGCATAATCTTAAAGCAATACTGGAATGAATTAAATTGTACACCAAACTTGTAATATTAGGTTAATAAGCCTTATTTTTAGCTAATAAGATTGTGATATGTATTAGCTCTCCTTTCCCCAAACCAATAGATGAATAGTGGTGCCCTTTCCCCACCAAGTAGTTTCTATGTATTAGTCTATCCTTTTCCCATTTCCCATAGATATAGCGATAGGGCATAGTTTCCTTTCCCCTTTCAATCTTTAGTTGTAGTTTTTTGTAGTTTATAGAAAATGCAAATTAAAAAATCCCCTTCAGGGGGCAAAAAAATAATAATTCAGTGAGTTCTAAGTCGATTCCAAAATAATTCCTAGAGTAGGAGCAACTGTAACACCCTATTCAGACTATCAAAGAGCTTCACAATATATAAACATAACCAAATGGATCTTTGGAGATTCTAGTAGACAGTTACTTGGTCAGTTGAAGACATACAAGGATTTGTCAGTGAAAAACCTTTACCCTGCTATTATGAGGTTTTCCAAATGCATTGTGTTTCCTGGCTTGGATGCTACTGGGAAGTGGGTATTCTTCCCGCTTTCCCACAGCATCTTGGTGATTTCGTAAACTTGGTTTCCTTGGCTTTGCCGCATTCTTTCTGAAACCTGCTTTGACACGATCTTTTTTGGAAAAGACAGCTGCCAGATGTGAACAGGAAAGTCCAGGTTTTTCCTGGTCCCACCCATACTGACACTTTTAAATATGTGTAGTGGTAATTGATGTATCAATCACCAATTTAAAAACCATGAAAGGCCCCCTGTGTAGAAGACTCTAAGACATTATATCCCCCCCAAAAAAATTCCAGGTACCAGTGTCATTTGGTTCACTCAGGTAACTACAAGCTCAGCCATCCCTGAGCTGCTTTTACTCAATTGGGGAAAACTAACTATTATGCACATTATTTCCTCAGCAAAGGTAAGATCAAACCAGTTAAAAGGAGTGATAGGGTTAAAGTTTCCCTCTCTTCCTCACACTGCTCTCCTCTTTGATAAAGCAATCCTGGAAGCAAAATTTGCAAAGGAAAAACTAATGTTTGAAATAAACATGACAAAAATTGTAACATGTAGTGAGCCCTATAAGTATTATGTTTGCTGTTCAAAATTCAGTCATTTCAGAATTAATGGAATCCAAGGAAGAGCAGAAACACAGAAATTAGTCTAAAACTTCATCATAGAAAAACATTTCTTGGGAATGATTCTTAAGGCACTTTTGCTGTCAAAGACATGGCAGGAATATCCACACATGGAGTTGGATCCAGATAAGGATTTCCATCTGCAGAATGGAATTTTCCTACCTCCCCACTTCTGCAGCAGCCTGAAATGCCCCCCAAATTAAGTTCTTGGGGGAGTTTCAGGCTGCCACAAAAGTGAGGAGGTGGAAAAACCTCACTTCTCAGGTCCTTGCACTTGAAAATGCTAGCCTGGATCCATGCCGTGATGTCCCACATGGAGTGTATCTGAATCCCTTAATGACTTTATGAACTACAACGGAGACTATCTACGAAGTGAGCTGGCAAAGTCAAAGTCAATGCTGACCACATCTGTAACTAGATACCATTTAGTGGGAAATCTGTCTCCTTAAAAATGTTGGGCAAATGACCTGTACTCTACTTTATATTCCAGTGACTCCTGATTACAGACTATCTTAGAAAGCTCCCCTGTTCAACACAAAGCTGTCATGGAAACTGAAGCTCAAATACTTTGGCCACCAAATGAGAAGGGAGCACTCACTGGAGAAGACCCTGATGCTTGGAAAGATTGAAGGTCAAAGAAGACGGGGACGGCAAAGGATGAGATGGTTAGACAGTGTCATCGATGCAACGAACATGAAGTTGAGCCAACTTCAGAGGACGGCAGAAGACCGGAAGGCCTGGAGAGAGCTCGTCCATGGGGTCGCGAAGAGTCGGACTCGACTGTGCGACTGAACAACAAAGATCTCAACAGGAAACCCTACTGAATTCATGCCTTGCATCTCTCAATGTGTGTAGATGTCAAGTCACAGAGCTGGACTAGTGGCTAAGAGACTGGGTTACAAAACAGCAACTCTTCAGGTCAATATCCCCTCTGCCATGAATTTACTAGGTAGGCAAGCCACAGTGGTCTCAGCTCCAGCCCCACGTTTGCAATGTGGGAATAATATGGAAACTACACTTTATGGAAAAGGGCAGCAGTAGTAGCTGGTAAAACACAAACAGCAAGAGCTTTGGGGAATAATTAATATTCCACCAAAGTCTCCTTACTATTGTCAGAAAAAAGGAGAAATCCAAACCTTCAAAGCAGCAGAAGATACACCAGTAAGTGAGGATGTGGTGGTACTATCTATTCATAGTTTTATAAATATTAACCGAAGCTAAAACAATGTCGGTAGAAAGGTGGCAGAGCTTTCCAGTGTTTGCATTAAATGCCACAAGTATTTCTATTTGCTGGAAGTCATGGGTATACCCTTGGTGTAAGGGCTGGCTCACTCACTAGGCGAACTAGGCTATCGCCTAGAGCGGGCTGGCCCTTAGGGGCGCCAAACTGCACCCGGCCCCATACTCTGGGAGTTTCTTGATTATTGTGTTTTTCATTCTTCCTAAAATGCATTTACAAACTCCTACACTGACAACACTTCTGCTGTTATGCAGAATGAAGGTCTTAAGGGTATC